GGAGGAGAAGAAGAAGAAGAAGAAGAAGAAGAAGAAGAAGAAGAAGAAGAAGAAGAAGAAGAAGAAGAAGAAGAAGAAGAAGAAAGGAGGGAAGGAAGGAGAAGAGAAGAGGAGAGGAGAGGGGAGGAGAAGAGAAGAGAAGAGAAAAGGAAGGAAAGAAAGAAAAGGAATGGAGACAAAGACACATCCCTGACACACTCCTTTCCTGATTTTGAACCATGCAGTGTTTCCTTGCCCTGTTCTGAGGACTGCTTCCTGGTCCGAGTATAGGTTTCTCCTCAGCACAATCATGCGTTCTGGGATTCTCATAAAAATGGACTCTTTTTTCCAATTAGATCCCATTCATAGATAGAAGCATTGGGATCTTGACACATATTTTTGTGTGTGTGTGTGTGATTTATTTTTCCCTGAATGTAGACAGCAAGTGCATTTGCTGAATGCTGCTGACAAGCATTATCCAAGAGCTAAAAGATGGGAAAGAATGCTGCGTCAGCCAAGGAGGCTTTCGGGGATACATAAATCTCACATAGGAAAAGGCACGGGGCTCTAGGAACACAGGAAGGGCTGCCCCTCTCTCAACACAGACCAACTCCATCCCATGGGCCCATCACCCTTACAGGATGTCTCACAAACACTTCACAGTTGAGACAACCATTGCTGTCCCCAGATCCTGCCACCAGCATCTCCACCTCTCCCTCTGTCATCTTCTCACCCAGTGTGACAAGGACATGCAGGATTTCAGTGCCTGTGACAGCGTCGTTCGGTTCCTTGTCTGACACCCGAAGCCCTTCCACATAGTCCTCAGACACACCCTGGTCCTGTTCTTGGCCACAGTCTGCAGCACGGGCAGGAAGTGCTCAAAATTCAGGACCTTCACATGCGTTTAGGGTTTCCCAGGACCTTGAGCACCTCAGCGTTTGTGGGGTTCTGAACCAGGCCTCTCATTAATCCCCCACACTGGCTGTACAAGCTCTTTCAATCACCCATTCGGTCAAACAGCTCTAAAGCCTCCTTCAACTCTGTGTCCTTGGTGAAGTCACACATCACGAGTGCTCAGGTATCAGGACCTTTTCCTGCAATAATGGCCTCAACACATATTTTTGGAGGTCACAATTCAATCCATAAGAGTAACAATGACAGTGCTCACTTCAGCAGCACATAAACTAAAATCAGAACCATGCAGAGAAGATTAGCGTGGCCCCTGTGCAAGGATGATATGCAAATTTGTGAAGCGTTCCATGTTTTTGGAACTTAGGGGACATCGAACCTGCACAAAAGCCTTCTTGTGTGCCTTACTTTTGTAAAGAGAGTTTGATGTATTCGTTTGAATAAGATGCGTTAAGCAATAAATGAACGACACAGGGGAAAAAAAGTAATAATGACAACAGCAATGTCCCAGTATCAGTCAAGTCCTTCAGAGTACCTCATTTGCACATCTCATTTGATATTCCTATCCTCATCTCTTTTTTTCTTCGCTGTCCATTTGGAACCAACTCAAAGCTGACCCTCAAGTGGGTTTCTGAGACTCTGAGTCTCATGGAAGGAGATTGTCCATGTTGTTCCCTTGGAGCTCCTGGTGGATTTGAACCACCGGACGGCTGGGCCTTTGGGTTAGTAGTGCAGCTCTCTATTAATTATGCCCTAGAGCTTCCTAGAGCTCATCTGTTTCTTCCTGGCTGCCTCTTCATCACCTGGGCTTCCATCCCTCAGCATTAGGATAGTCTGAGAGAAGACAGACTCATTTTTCAATCAGCCTGAGTCGAGTGGGTTTTCACTCAACAATCCCTTGAATTAAATTTGCTTGAGGGAGGGGGAAGTCCCCCCAACAATATGTCCCAGACCCAAGACAGATAGAACGAGGACTATTGCCATCCTGGTCTGTGTCTCTCACTAATCTGACCTGATGAACCGGAAAGTGAGGCTTTGAGTACCAAAGACGGCACAGGGGAAGGCCACCACACCAATGGCAGAGTGTTTCGGCCTAGCCCTGCCTTTGTTTCTGACAAGGTGGAAATGAAAGCCAAAGATTGGGAGCAGGTAGCCTAGGTGTTCTGAGGGATCATCCACTCACCGGAGTCTGAGACCCAGGGCCTAGAAAAGCATTTCTGTCCACTTCTGCCCCCCACGCTCCAAAGCATGAACAAAATTAGGAGGAAGGAAAGAAGGGTCCTTGGTTTTTTATTTGGGCTTTCTTTCTTGTCTTTCCATCTCCGCCTCCCTCTCCCTACTATCTCAGTGAAGAAGCTAGACAGAAACATCACATCTAAATAGGTGAGAAAAACATCTCTCCCAGTGGTGGAGACAGGCCTGGGTTCTAAACTGTTCACTAGTTGGGTTGTCTTGAATAAGTTACCTCACCATGGTGAACATCAGTCTCTCTAGCAATAAAACAGGAAAAATGTTGTGTATGGCATGGACTGTTGAGAGCATGAAAAGAAGCCATAAATGGCAAGGTATGCTTATTACTAGCTCTACAAGCAAGAGCTAGGTACTTTCTGTGTGTGTCCCAGGAAAAGGGTCATCATGTGGCCCAGGACATGGCTTGTTGATAAGGCAATCTGGGGTCTCCAGGAGCCCCCCTCAGGCCTACCTCTGCAGGGAGTGTCTGAGGGCCCCTGTGAGGAGGAGCCCAGCAGCGGGGCTGGCTCTGGGCCTGCAGACGGCTGTCCCGGGGGACGTTCCGGATGTCTGCTGTACACTCCCTCAGGGGGCTGGAAGGAGCAGTGGAAACTTTCCTTCCTCAAGGTGAAACTTTCCACCGGGCTTAGGTCTTGGAGAACCACGGGGCGTCGGGACCGCGGGCTGCCTGCCGCCTGTAACGGGAGCTAGGGCAGGGCCCCCCACTTCCTGTGGGAGCTAATGAGCCTCAAGAAGGACAGCCAGGAGCTGCTGCTCCAGCCAGATTCGATTTCCTCCTTGTTTGAAGCTCGGTTACTTAACACCTTGGCTGTGACTTTCCCAGCCTCTGACAGAGTCCACAGGTCTCACCCCTTGTATTTCATTCATGCAATTCGATTTCAAAGTACCGCTGAGCTTCTGGAGACCAGCAGTAGGCAGGGAATGAAAGGTGGCGAGGGAAGGAAATGCCTGGGCTCTGTGGACGCACCTACCCGCCATCATAGTGTCCTGGTGGGACCAGCTCCACGGAGACTTCCTGCTTCCTGGAAAAACTGGCAGAGGAAGGTGGGGAAGAGGGTCTCACCCAAGAAACAGAGCATGTGAGCCAAAGATGAGGACAAGTATAACAGTCACCTATCCACTCACGACATGCCTGATGGAGGAAGAGCCCGCGGGCACTGTCTCTTAGCCTTGAATAATAGGCTCAACCAGAGCAGTGGTGATTCTGACTCATAGCTACCCGTGTGTGTCACAGGAGAAATGAATTCCTTAGGATTTGCAATGGCTGGGACATTTGGGGGGCACATTGCCAGATTTTTTCCTCTGAGAAGCCATTGGGTAGACTTGAACTGTCAACCTTTTGGTTAGTAGCCAAGTACTTGATCATTTGAGTCACCCAGGAACTCCTTGAATAATATAAAGGATCCTTTCAGAGGAAAATAATTGTCTTGGACCACAGTGGTCCTTAGATACCTTTCCTCGTCAGGGGGCAGGGGAGCTAAGGAAGCACTGTCTTGAGAAGCTGAAGTCTTACGCTGAAAAATATCTTCCCACAAAATATAGTGCAGGGAAGAATGTCTTTCCGTTATGAGTCTTTCAGTTCTGTAATCAGACAAACTGGGGCTTGAATTCACTGCAAAGGAAATTGTTGTCTTCACACTTTAGAAAATATTTTAAAATCTTAGTGAACACATGGACTCCTGAGCGGACTCCATCACGCCCATGGAGTGTGCAGGCCCAGCGCTGTGGGTAACAGCATGTGGCTACTAGCCATGAAGTTGGTGGTTCTAACCCACCAGCCACTCCACACAAACAGATGAGGTAGTCCACTTCCATAAAGATTTATAAACTTGGAAATGCTATGAGCAGTTCTCTGTCTGACAGGGACACTGTGGATCTGAATCAACTCAGTAGCAGTGGGTTTTGGTTTCTTTGCTTTTTTGGTTTAAGAAACATTGCAAATGAGAGCAACAAAACCCCCCATTTAACTAAAATATGTGATAACATTTCCATAATCATGGCTGCACCTCTCTCATTCTGCGTTCTCAGACTGACAGAATCATAAAACCGAGACTTGGAATTTGGAAGGAACATTAAAGATGGTCTGGCTCAGGCTCTGATGCAGGCTCCAAGTGTCCTTTCTCCCATCAGAGACTTCCTGCTTCCGCAACTCCAGCGACAAGCTGTATCCAGCTGATATATCTGTAGCCCTCTCACTCCTCATTCCCTCCATCCCCACCAAACTTCCCCCAAAACAAAATGATCCATCGATCACCTAGGAAAGTGTGATGGTTAAACATCTGGGCTCTCTAATCAGACAAACCAGGCTTTGAATTCTGCCCTGCTGCTCACTGGCCAAGATACCTGGTAAATCACTTTGGTGAGCCTCAGTTTCCTCATTTGTCAAACAAGGAAAACAGTGACACCTGCCTCATAGAGCTGCTGTGAAAGTTACCAGTGCCTGTGAGGATGAAGTCTCACTGGGCTTAGTGCCTAGTGCAGAGTCGGAGCTCAGGGAATGTTAACCCCTTATGGGGAAGCACATTTATTTGGTGAAGCACATTATGTTTGTTGTTATATGCCGTCAAGTCACCTGCGACCCAGAGCGACCCTCTGTACAACAGCTCTGAAGCCTGTCCTGAGCCAGTCTCATTGACTTGACACACCTACCTGCTTTGCCCCAGTTACCTATCAATCCATCTCATCGGGGTCTCCCTCTCCTGCGCTGTCCCTCCACCCTTCCAAGCATGATGTCTTTCTCCAAGGACCGGTCTCTCCTGATCACATGCCCAAAGTATGTGAAATGGAGCTTCAAAATCCTAGCCTCCAAAGAGATTATACCATGATTTATTCCTCATTTGTCTCCCTGAGGGCAAGCCGAAAACCCACTGGTCATGTTTCATCATTTTCCAAGATTAATGGGAACAGAGTGCTTTCTCATTCTCCTGCAGAGAGGGTGGTGGATTTGAACAGCTAATCTTTCTGTTAGCAGCTCAACCCAGTATGCCACCAGGGCTCCTTCCATAAGGGCAGGGCATGCCTTATTCACTCCTGAATTCTTTGGCAGTTGCCCCATGTCTGGAATATAATGCACATTGCATTCAGCCCATGTGGACATCCTGTCTGCCTTATGTTCCTTTGATGGGCAACTCTAACTCAGAACTTAGTCTCATAGGTGTTAGGGAGCGTTGGTGGCGCAGTGGGAGAATTCTCACCCTCCATGGAGGAGACAGTTCTTGGCCATGTACCTCATGCACAGCCTTCTTCCATATCACAGAGGCTCACATGTTGCTGTGATGCCTAACACATCTCAACGACACTTCCAGACGAAGATAGACCAGGGAGAAAGACTTGGTAACCTACTTCCAAAAATCAGTAAAGAGAGCTTTGGTGGCCTAGTGGTAAGAAGCTGCTCTGCCAACCCAAAAAGAAGTCAATGGACGTCCCATACAACAGCCCAGTTTACACTTAGTCATGGGCGTGACACGGAATTAGGCAGCATGGCATTCCATTGTGCATGGGGCACCATGAGTTGGGGTCAACTCATTGACAGTCAGAAACGTTCTTGTTAGTCAAAAGTAATTAGAAATTCATTTGAATTGGGATCTGCCTTCTTCCTTAAACCATCTGTTAAGCTTAGTTCTACCCTCTGGGACCACACAATAAGCCTACCTTGTAGCTCTTTTCTACCCAGCAGGCCTTTAGCTCTTTGAGGTCAGCAAGTATCCCTACTTGCCTTGCCTTTACCCCTCTGTTGCTTTCACTGCTTCTCACACAAATGACTTCTTTTTTTTTTAATTTAGGTTGTTTATTTTTCATTTCAATGAACATCTACAGA